GCAAACCTTTCTATATTTCTTGTTAAATAAAATACACTCTTGGTCCTTATATAGACCCAATGACTTTTACAATTCAAAAAAGATAATTGCTACTAATAAAAACTATCATAACTTACTAACTTTTGTCATTCAAAATTACATTGGTTCTTAATCTTTCTACTACCTTATTTAATTATGAAAACTTATTACTACTGACATTAAAGTTTACTCAACAATTATAACTGCACAATTATTTTGCTTAGCTTAGCTCTAACAAAATCTATTTTAGTTAGTTTGGATTCTGTTATTATCTGTTGCATTCAGTTACAACTGAATTCTTTTATAAATAGTCCTACAAGTTATATAAACTACACAAAATCACATCGATTCTAATAATTTCGAATTCATGGAACCTGTAATCAAAGGTCACAGACTTGATATTATTGAGTAAACTTTAAATGTCATTAGTAATAAGTTTTTCATATTAAATATGGTAGTAGGAAGATTAAGAGCCAATGTAATTTGGAAGGACAAAAGTTAGTAAGTTATGATAGTTTTATTAGTAGCAGTTATCTTTTGGGAATTGTAAAAGTCATTAGGTCTATATAAGGACCAAGAGTGTATTTTAATTTAACAAGGCAATATAGAAAGGTTTTCCTCTTTCTCAAATTAAAATCACAAACGAAGTCTGCTTCATTATATCAATTTGGCATCAGAGCTCATGGCAAACATGATGAATCAAATGCCGTTGCCACGGCTAACGAAGTCAAATTATGAAAAATGGAGTATCCAAATGAAATCTCTTCTTGGATCTCTAGACGTGTGGGATGTGACCCATGAAGGGTTTGAATAACCAACAGAAGTTGGGGGATATACGGCAACTCAAACGAAGGCGTTGAAAGAGACACGATCGAAGGGCAAAACGGCATTATACATGTTGTTCAGGGCTGTAGATGAATCAGGCTTCGAAAAAATTGTTGGTTCGACTACGTCGAAACAAGCGTGGGACACGTTAGAAAAAGTGTTCAAAGGAGCAGATCGAGTAAAGCAAGTTCGACTCCAAACTCTTCGTGGAAAATTGGAGAGGATACAAATGAAGGATACATAAATTGTATCTGACTACATCACACGTGTGCAAAACGTGGTGAATCAACTCACCAGAAACGGAGAGACAGTAACTGATGCACGAGTTGTTGAAAAGATCTTGAGATCTTTAACAGACAAGTTTGATAATATTGTGTGTGCAATAGAAGAGTCGAAGGACCTCTCGACGCTCTCAGTCGAAGAGCTCGCTAGTTCTCTCGAAGCACATGAACAACGAAAGATGAAAAAGAAAGAAGAAGCAGTCGAAGAAGCAAATCAAACCAAGGAATCGAGCAAAGACGAAAAGGTACTCTTTTCTCAAAACTTTCGAGGAAGAGGACGTGGACGCGGAGGTCGTGACAGTGGTCGAAGTGGTAGAGGTAGCAACTTCGAAAGAGGAAAATCGAGCCAGCAAAATTGGCGTGGCAGAGGACATGGTCAAAGAGGTGGTCGTTCGAATCATTCCAACTTCGAATGCTACAAGTGTGGGAAGTATGGTCATTATGCAAAGGATTGAAACTCCTACAAATGTTACAACTGTGACAAAGTGGGACATCTTGCAAAAGACTGTCGAATCGAAAAGAAGATTGAAGAAACAACCAACCTAGCCTTGGAAGCTGAATTGAATGAAGGCTTTCTTCTGATGGCTCAAAACGAAATCAACACCAATAATGACAATGTTTGGTATCTTGACTCAGGAGAAAGTAATCACATGTGTGGTTACAAACACCTGTTTAAAGATATGAAGAGAATTGAAGATGGTAATGTGTCTTTTGGAGATGCATCTAAAGTGAAGGTCGAAGGAAAGGGCACAATCAGTTACTTGCAGAAGGATGGCTTGATTGGATCAATCGAAGATGTTTACTATGTACCAGATCTCAAGACCAACATATTAAGTCTGGGACAACTTACAGAAAAAGGCGCTTCGATACTTATGAAAGATCGAACACTGCATTTGAAGGACAAAGTAGGACATATGATTGCCCGTGTCGAAATGGAAAGAAATCGAATATACAAACTGAACTTGAGGAACATTCGAGAGAAATGTCTGCAAATCGAAGTGCAAGACAAAGCGTCACTATGGCATACGCGCTTTGGTCATCTACATCATGCTGGTTTGAGAAGGTTGGCGAAAAGGAACATGGTGCATGGACTACCAGACATGGATTTCGAAGGAAAGTTCTGTGAAGAATGTGTGCTCAGCAAACAAACAAGAACCTCATTTCAAAGGAAGGAAGAGTATCAAGCTAAACATATTCTCGAATTGATACATACTGACATATGTGGTCCAATCACTCCAGAATCCTTCAGTGGAAAAAGGTACTTCATTTCTTTTATTGATGACTTCTCAAGAAAAACCTGGGTTTACTTCTTGAAAGAAAAATATGAAGCATTAGAAGTGTTCAAAATGTTCAAAGTAATGGTGGAGAAGGCAACAGACAAACACATCAAAGCAATTCGATCTGACAGAGGAGGTGAGTATACTTCAATGGCCTTTGTGAAGTACTGTGAAGAACAAGGCATATGGAGATTCCTAACTGCACCATATTCACCTCAGCAAAATGGTGTGGCTGAAAGAAATAATCGAACTATTCTTGACATGATTCGATCAATGCTCAAAAGCAAGAACATGTCGAAAGAATTCTGGGCAGAAGCAGTACAATGTGTTGTTTATATTCAGAATAAATGTCCACATTCGAAGTTAGAAGACAAAACACCACAAGAAGCATGGAGTGGACAGAAGCCAACAGTTTCTCATCTCAAGGTATTTGGTAGTATAGCTTATGCACATGTACCAGATCAATGAAGAACAAAGCTTGAAGACAAAAGTCAGAAGTACATATTCATTGGATATGATGAGAAGACGAAAGGGTACAAGCTCTTCGACCCCATAAGCAAGAAAGTGATCGTGAGTAGAGACGTTCGAATGAACAAAGCAAGCAAGTGGGACTGGAACAATTCAATAGAGGTTATTGACGCAGTCGAAGAAACAACTGTAGCTGTACCAACAAATATTACAACAGAACATGAAGAAACTGAAGATGAACCTCTATAACCCAAAATGAGAAGTTTGCAAGATTTGTATGATTCAACAAGTGATGTGCATCTTGTGTGTCTTCTGGAAGATGCTGAAAACATCAGTGTCGAAGAAGCGTTACGAGACAAGAAGTGGAAAAGTTCCATGGACGAAGAGATTAGAGCAATCGAATGCAACAATACTTGGGAGTTAGTCGAATTGCCAAAAGGTAGTCAACCCATTGGTGTAAAGTGGGTATTCAAGAAAAAGATTAATGCTCAAGGAGAAATCGAAAGATTCAAAGCACAACTGGTTGCGAAGGGATACAAACAAAAAGCAGGAATCGACTATGACGAAGTGTTTGCGCCTGTTGCAAGAATGGAGACAATTCGATTACTCATTTCTCAAGCTGCTCAATTTAAATGGCCAATATTTCAAATGGATGTCAAGGAAGCATTTTTGAATGGTGTGCTCGAAGAAGAAATCTATGTCGAACAACCACTTGGATATATGAGAATTGGAGAAGAGAAGAAGGTGTTGAAACTGAAGAAATCACTGTATGGGCTGAAGCAAGCACCTAAGGCATGGAAAGCACGTATTGACACATATTTCAAAGAGAATGGGTTCGAGCAATGTCCTTATGAACCCGCCCTCTATGTGAAGAAAAATGGAAGTAATTTATTACTTGTTGCTCTCTATGTTGATGACCTTATCTTTCTAGGCAGTGATGTTCAGATGATAGAAGATTTCAAGAGCACCATGACAAGCGAATTCGAAATAACAGACTTAGGTCTGATGGGATTCTTTCTTGGTCTGGAGGTTCGACAAGAAGAAGCTGGAATCTTTATCTCACAAGAAAAATATGCAAAAGAAATCCTAGAGAAATATAAAATGAAGAATTGCAATCCAACTTCGACGCCAATGGAACCAGGTACAAAACTGTCAAAGTTTGATAGAGGAGAACGGGTTGAAGGAAGCAAATACCGAAGCTTGGTAGGTAGCCTTTGATATCTCACATGCACAAGGCCAGACATTTCACTAAGTGTTGGCATAGTAAGTCGATTCATGGAGGAGCCAGTACACACACATTGGAAGGCGCTGAAATGAATTCTAAGATACATCCAAGGAATAGTATCACTAGGAATGCTTTATTCAAAAACAAAAGACTACAAGTTAGTTGGTTATTCTGACAGTGACTGGTGCGGAGACATAGACGATCAAAAGAGCACCTATGGATATGTGTTTTTCATGGGAAACACAACATTTACTTGGCTATCGAAGAAGCAATCTATAGTAACACTTTCGACGTGTGAAGCTGAATATGTGGCAGCATCCTGGTGCGTCTGTCATGCAGTATGGCTCAGAAGGTTGATAAGCAAGATGAAGCTAAAACAGGAAGGTCCAACAATAATACAAGCGGACAATAAATCAGCTATCGAATTGGCAAAGAATCTAGTGAATCGTGAACGAAGCAAACACATTGATGTTCGATTTCACTTCATTCGTGAACATGTGAAGGAGGGAAGTGTCAAATTGAGGCATGTAGCAAGCAAAAACCAAGCAGCGAATATTTTCACAAAACCACTATCAAAAGAGATCTTCGACAGAAGCAAGAAGATGATAGGAATGCTGGATGGAAGAAACATTTAAGTTTTCAGAGGAGTTTTGTTGAGTAAACTTTAAATGTCATCAGTAATAAGTTTTTCATATTAAATATGGTAGTAGGAAGATTAAGAGCCAATGTAATTTGGAAGGATAAAAGTTAATAAGTTATGATAGTTTTATTAGTAGCAGTTATCTTTTTGGAATTGTAAAAGTCATTAGGTATATATAAGGACCAAGAGTGTATTTTAATTTAACAAGGCAATATAGAAAGGTTTTCCTCTTTCTCAAATTAAAATCACAAACAAAGTCTGCTTCATTATATCAGATATTTCGGAATGCTGATGATGTTAACGGTGACAATGCAGACTCCATTAACGATGATTTTGATGAACTCCATTTTTGGCTCCATTAACGATGATTTTGACGAACTCCATTTTTGGCTTTTCTCCACTCTATCGTATCCATCCTCACACAATTTCAATTTCTTCCAGTACGCGCAAAGGCTAGGCAATATCGATCCGAAACCAATAATCTCACCAAAAATAACACGAAGTGAATCTCAGAATATCTATTCAGAATCAAGATCCTGATAGATTCTTTAGCTGATGCAAAGCGACCTGTGAAGTTGCAAGAACACGTGGATGCAATACTGCTAGGATTATCTGAGGAGTATGAGGCTATTGTGATATTCATCTACACGATATCAATGGGTGATCCATTTACAGTTGAATAAATTGAGTATATGCTACAAGTTTATGAAACTTGGATTATAGATGAATATTCTTAGTTTTGTGTTACCTGTAATTGAATCTTTTTAGTTTAGATTAATGCTCAATTATTTGATCTTCTTTTATTCAACTGTTAACTAGATACTGATTACATGAAATAATTGCATTCTATTTTTCACACTTTCTTCTATTTTCCTGTCTTTGATCCATATTTTCTTGTATCCCTCAATGATGCATGCATGTCCTTGAGGGACTCTTAGATGGCTCAATGTGTTGCATACTACACACAAAAGAGAGCATTTCTTTTTATTTGATCTTGATAATTGGATTAAATTTAATTTGAATAATAAATTGCTGCAAGTCAAGGAGTAGTGTAAGTGTAACACAACAAGAAAATTTAATATATTATATATCACGAAACCATCTTAAATTTGTACAAAAAATATATATGATACAAAGAAAGTATATAGGAAATAGTAAAAGGTGATCATTTTTTTATATATTTTGATGTGTCTCCACCTTGATTCCATGTAGTTACTAATATGAGCAGGTGCAGCATAAACCCCACATTTGAAGTACAAATCACCTGGCCCATGATCCTTTGTTTGAAACTTGTTCTCTCCATCACTGAACACACTCACTATTCCTCCATCCACATCATGTATGATATTAACTCTAAACCATTTATCATAAAGATTCTCAGCCACTAAGTCTGTGTCGTAATACCTCATATCTCTGTTGTATATTCTTAGTATCAATGTCGTAGCACCACCATCTCCTGAACCATGAATCTGTGCTATTGTAGCACCTGATGTTCCCTTTGGCACATACCCATAACCTTCAAATTGCCAAACACTAGAGTGGTAGTCAAGTCCCTGCGTAGTTCAAAGAATACTTCTATGTTAATGTTGAATAAACATTAAATGTCATTAGTAATAAGTTTCATATTAAATATGGTAGTAGGAAGGACAAAAGTTTAGTAAGTTATGATAGTTTATTAGTAGCAGTTATGTTTTTAGAATCGTAAAAGCCATTAGGTCTATATAAAGACCAAGAGTGTATTTTATTTTAACAAGAGCAATATACAAAGTTTTGTCTGAAGTCTAATTCTTAGTTATAACAATTTGGCATCAGAGCTCATGGCAAACATGATGAATTAAATGCCGTTGCCACGGCTAACGAAGTCAAATTATGAAAACTGGAGTATCCAAATGAAAGCTCTTCTTGGATCTCTAGACGCGTGGGATGTGACCCATGATGGGTTTGAAGAACCAACAGGAGTTGGGGGATATACGGCAGCTCAAACGAAGGCGTTGAAAGAGACGCGATCGAAGGACAAAACGGCATTATACATGTTGTTCAGGGCTGTAGATGAATTAGGCTTCGAAAAAATTGCTGGTTCGACTACGTCGAAACAAGCGTGGGACACGTTAGAAAAAGTGTTCAAAGGAGCAGATCGAGTGAAGCAAGTTCGACTCCAAACTCTTCGTGGCGAATTAGAGAGGATACAAATGAAGGATACAAAAATTGTATCTGACTACATCACACATGTGCAAAAGGTGGTGAATCAACTCACCAGAAATGGAGAGACAGTACCTGATGCACGAGTTGTTGAGATGATCTTGAGATCTTTAACAGACAAGTTTGAAAATATTGTATGTGCAATAGAAGAGTCGAAGGACCTTTCGACGCTCTCAATCGAAGAGCTCACTGGCTCTCTTGAAGCACATGAACAACGAAAGATGAAAAAGAAAGAAGAAGCAGTCGAAGAAGAAAACCAAACCAAGGAATCGAACAAAGATGAAAATGTACTCTTTTCTCACAACTTTCGAGGAAGAGGACGTGGACGTGGAGGTCGTGACAGTGGTCGAAGTGGTAGAGGTAGCAACTTCGAAAGAGGACAATCGAGCCAACAAAATTGGCGTGGCAGAGGACGTGGTCAAAGAGGTGGTCGTTCGAATCATTCCAACTTCGAATGCTACAAGTGTGGGAAGTATGGTCATTATGCGAAGGATTATAACTCCTACAGATGTTACAACTGTGACAAAGTGGGACATCTTGCAAAAGACTGTCGAATCGAAAAGAAGATTGAAGAAACAACCAACCTAGCCTTGGAAGCTGAATCGAATGAAGGCTTTCTTCTGATGGCTCAAAACAAAATCAACACGAATGACAATGTTTGGTATCTTGACTCAGGAGCAAGTAATCACATGTGTGGTTACAAACACCTGTTTAAAGATATGAAGAGAATTGAAGATGGTAATGTGTCTTTTGGAGATGCATCGAAAGTGAAGGTCGAAGGAAAGGGCACAATCAGTTACTTGCAGAAGGATGACTTGATTGGATCAATCGAAGACGTTTACTATGTACCAGATCTCAAGACCAACATATTAAGTCTGGGACAACTTACAGAAAAAGGTGCTTCGATACTTATGAAAGATCGAACATTGCATTTGAAGGACAAAGCAGGACATCTGATTGCCAGTGTCGAAATGGAAAGAAATCGAATGTACAAACTAAACTTGAGGAACATTCGAGAGAAATGTCTGCAAATCGAAGTGCAAGACAAAGCGTTACTATGGCATATGCGCTTTGGTCATCTACATCATGCTGGTTTGAGAAGGTTGGCAAAAAATGAACATGGTGCATGGATTACCAGACATGGATTTCGAAGGAAAATTCTGTGAAGAATATGTGCTCAGCAAACAAACAAGAACCGCATTTCAAAGGAAGGCAGAGTATCAAGCTAAACATATTCTCAAATTGATACATACTGACATATGTGGGCCAATCACTCCAGAATCCTTCAGTGGAAAAAGGTACTTCATTTCTTTTATTGATGACTTCTCAAGAAAAACCTGGGTTTACTTCTTGAAAGAAAAATCTGAAGCATTAGAAGTGTTCAAAAAGTTCAAAGTAATGGTGGAGAAGGCAACAGACAGACACATCAAAGCAATTCGATCTGACAGAGTAGGAGAGTATACTTCAATGGATTTTGTGAAGTACTGTGAAGAACAGGGCATAAGGAGATTCCTAACTGCACCATATTCACCTCAGCAAAATGGTGTGGCTGAAAGGAAGAATCGAACTATTTTTGACATGATTCGATCAATGCTCAAAAGCAAGAACATGTCGAAAGAATTCTGGGCAAAAGCAGTACAATGTGCTGTTTATATTCAGAGTAGATGTCCACATTCAAAGTTAGAAGACAAAACACCACAAGAAGCATGGAGTGGACAGAAGCCAACAATTTCTCATCTCAAGGTATTTGGTAGTATAGCTTATGCACATGTACCAGATCAACGAAGAACAAAGCTTGAAGACAAAAGTCAGAAGTACATATTCATTGGATATGATGAGAAGACGAAAGGGTACAAGCTCTTCAATCCCATAAGCAAGAAAGTAATCGTGAGTAGAGACGTTCGAATGAACGAAGCAAGCAAGTGGGACTGGAACAATTCGATAGAGGTTATTGACGCAGTCAAAGAAACAACTGTAGATGTACCATCAAGTATTCCAACAGAACATGAAGAAACTGAAGATGAAGATGAGCCTCTACAACCAAAAATGAGAAGTTTTCAAGATTTGTATGATTCAACAAGTGAGGTGCATCTTGTGTGTCTTCTGGCAGATGCTGAAAACATCAGCGTCGAAGAAGCGTTACGAGACAAGAAGTGGAAAAGTGCCATGGACGAAGAGATTAGAGCAATCGAATGCAACAATACTTGGGAGCTAGTCGAATTGCCAAAAGGTAGTCAACCCATTGGTATAAAGTGGGTATTCAAGAAAAAGATGAATGCTCAAGGAGAAATCGAAAGATTCAAAGCACGACTGGTTGCGAAGGGATACAAACAGAAAGCAGGAATTGACTATGACGAAGTGTTTGCGCCTGTTGCAAGAATGGAGACAATTTGATTACTCATTTCTCAAGCTACCCAATTCAAATGGCCAATATTTCAAATGGATGTCAAGACAACATTTACTTGGTTGTCGAAGAAGCAACCTATAGTAACACTTTCGACGTGTGAAGCTGAATATGTGGCAGCATCCTGGTGCGTCTGTCATGCAGTATGGCTCAAAAGGTTGATAAGCAAGATGGAGCTAAAACAGGAAGATCCAACAATAATACAAGTGGACAATAAATCAGCTATCGAATTGGCAAAGAATCCAGTGAATCATGAATGAAGCAAACACATTGATGTTCGATTTCACTTCATTCGTGAACATGTGAAGGAGGGAAGTGTCGAATTGAGGCACGTAGCAAGTAGAAACCAAGCAGCAGATATTTTTACAAAACCACTATCAAAAGAGATCTTCGACAGAGGCAAGAAGATGATAGGAATGCTGGATGGAAGAAACATTTAAGTTTACTGAGGAGTTTTGTTGAATAAACATTAAATGTCATTAGTAATAAGTTTCATATTAAATATGGTAGTAGGAAGGACAAAAGTTTAGTAAGTTATGATAGTTTATTAGTAGCAGTTATGTTTTTAGAATTGTAAAAGCCATTAGGTCTATATAAAGACCAAGAGTGTATTTTATTTTAACAAGAGCAATATACAAAGTTTTGTCTGAAGTCTGATTCTTAGTTATAACAGTTAAAGCATAATCGATAGACGAAGAATATGATATACCTTTATGCGAATCTCTGTGCGTGGCTGAGTAGGGCTACCAGGAGAATAAGGCTTATCGTGAGCATAAACCCAAAATCTATGAACACCATCAATGAAGCTATACCTTTGCTCAACTGGTATGTTGTATGGCTTCTGCACCACAAAATTTGCTTCGGTTAAAGGGATAGAAGTAAAACCATATGTAGGATCTTCACCATATACTCGCACAATGTTTTCAATAGACACTAGAAGAAGGAACAAAGATAGAATCACAAAAATGTTAGAGCTTCTCATTTTTCCTTTTTTTTCTCAAACACTTCATTTCTACTATAGAATGGTACATGAGATTAGCGTGTATATAGACATTCCAAACACACACACAAATATATATTATAAGCAAATTCGTGAATAAAGTCTAAGTAAGCTTCATATGATTTTCTTCTGCTGAATATTGGAATGCTGACTGAAGTTTGGGACTCATTAGAATAAATATGCTAATTTTTAATTTATACGGTGCGATTGTTTTGGACTCATTAAAATATGCTAATTTTTAATTCATCTTCGCAACGTACTGATTTTCCTGATAAATATTTTGACGTTTGGGAACCGTAACTATTCAAAACACTACAACAACAAAAATCTCAACTCACATCCAGGTAACATTGAATGGGTCACATCAAGTGTTTGTAGATTTTATGCGTCAAATTTCATGGTTTGGAAGTTCAACATGTAAAGTATGAGTAATCCATAATTATTAGAGTAGTTATTCATTTGAGAATAAGAGTCCCTTTGTTTTACCTTTTAAAAATTAATTTTTTCTTTTAATTAAAAATTTTAAATATTAAAAGTCTTTTTAAATTTATAAATTGAAAGATTAATTTTGACATCATATAATATAAATATATATTATTGAAAATTAAAACATAATTGAAATTATTATTTTTTTTTCAAAAAAATGTATCTCAGTTGATTTTTATAAAAATTTATTTGAAATAGTTTCAAATTTATTTGGAAGTAATTTGGTCAACACATTGCATCAGAGTTTAAGTCTTGTTATAAGAGTAGTCATCTCAAAAAATAGGATGACTTTAAATGATTCACTAGAAAAATCTTTATTTTTTAATGGTGAATGGTATTCTTATTGGAAAGTGAAAATGATATTTAAGTCGTCGTTAACAATGACCTCTTTATTCCCGAACATCAAGTTGATGGTAATGTGGAAAACAAATCTAGAGATCTTTGGACCAAAAAGGATAAATAAGAAAAAATATTATTGTTTGCAAGCTAAACCTATTGTCACTACCGACACTAATATTGATGAGTTTTTCTTTTCTTTTCGAGTTTCACATTGTTATTCTATAAAAGATATCTAGGACATCCTTCAAGTTAACCACGAAAGTACAACTGAGGTAAAGAAGGACTAGGATGAACACATTGACCCGTGAGTATGAATTGTTTAGAATGAAACATATTCTGGACTGGCCAAAAAGACCCAATTGACTAAGATCCAATCCATCTCAAGCCCACTCTACTCGACCCAATATATAAAAATAGTTCACCTGTTATTAGAAGGTACACAATATATGATCTCCAACTTCACTATACTCATTGTTCTAGACTGGGCCCGCCCTGGCCCAAAAGCAAGAACAAAGGTCCAATCCAAGAAACTCCTCGAGGGGCGTGCGCCTGAGGATTCCCGCCAGCGCGCCCGACCACAGACTGTAGTCGTGCCCGCCGTTGCCCGCGACACATGGTGTCCCCGACCACGGGAACTCCAGCTCGAGCCCAGCTCGAGCACCCTCCTCGTAGGGCCGATTCTGACTGTTACCAAACCACTTGAACTCCGGAAAGACCGCGTCTTCGTCCCTCCTCATTTCTCGCAGAGCATCACCAGGAAGGAGACCACGTGCGGGTCTCCACTACACACGTAGAACCTGACAGTTCCTTTATTGGGCCAGTCCTGGTCGGCCCAATGAGGGGACCTTGGCCCCGCGCTGGGGGCTATAAATACCCTCTGTTCCTAGAGAGTCATATATTCATCTCTTATGCATACATACACTTTTTGCCTGCTCATTCCGTCACTCATTTTAGCATCAGAGTGCCTTGCAGGTACCCCCCCAATCTCACTCAACTTCTGCTCGGAGCCAGTCATGACGGTCCAAGTCTGATCAGGTAAGATCAGTGGCGCCGTCTATGGGAATCTAGCTTCCCCGTCTTGCAAAACCTCGAAGACCAAAGCTCAATATCACTTCCTACCGTCATGGCTAACCAAGTTCGGGATGACCAAAACATCCGCGTCATCGACACCAACAACAGCCTCACAGATAAAAATGGACTCCCCGACAATACTGGTAACCCCGGTCATAACACACTCCCCGGGGGCACCAACCCCGAGCCCTCACTCCACCGCAACGGAGTTACTGCCTCATCTTCTTCAGTCCCTCCACCGCTCGAAGAAGACAATGCAGCTCCCACAAGCCATCGAGCTGCCCAATTTCAGGAAGTCCCTGTCCCCGCCGGGGCAGATGCCACAACCTACGCACTATTCACGGCGATCAATCAGACGAATTACCTCATCTTCTCCTAGGGGGAAAGATTGAGGGCACTAGAAGAAGATCGAAGATCCGCGAGGAGGCACAAGAGGCCCCAAACTCCACCTCGTTGAGTAACAGAGGTACACCTCCCGTCTCCCCCGCAGAGACAATACAAAGATGCCTCCCGAAGCCCGTCTCCCCGACCCTCGGGGAGACGAACCCCTTTGGAGAGGCAACCCGTCATTGATGTCGGAGGGCGCAACCACGGCCCTATACAGCAAGAAAGAAGACACTCAGGAGACAGGCACGGAAGAATCGACCAACGAGCACCATGCTCGAGGGATGCCCAGCACGACCAGGACCGTCGGGCGCGACAATATTACAGGTCCCCATCCCTGTCCCCAGAGCGAAGTGACAAGGACGACCCCCGCGATCCTCTGTCACAAGCCATCATGGAGGCACCCATTCCCCCAGGAATGGGGAAGCCTTAACATCTGAAGGAATACGACGGAGTCGCGGACCCGGTCGACCATATAGACGGGTTCGAGGCTATGCTGCACTACCACAACGTCGGGGGACCCATCAAATGCCGGTTGTTCCCCACGACCCTTAGAAAGGCAGCAATGGATTGGTATAAGGGCCTCGCTCCGGGATCAATCACCTCGTGGCGAAACCTGAAGAACCAATTCATAAGTTCGTTCACTGCGTCTCGGCGACACCCAAATATTGAGGCGGCTCTCGAGGCCATCACCCAGAGATAGGATGAAACCTTGAGAGAATTTATTAATCGCTTCAATCACAAAGCCATACAGGTCCCCTGCACGGACCACATGAAGAGGTACCTACTGGAGAGGGGGCTCCTCCCCGGCACAGAATTCAGAAAGGCGGTGGGCATCGAACCGCCCAGAACATTTGATGCCCTCCTCGAGAAGGCCCGAGCGTATATGGATTACGAGGAAAGGGAGGTGACCAACAGAGCCCGGGACCCCAGAACTCGCGGATCCAGCAGCAACCCGCACCAGGAAGCCGCCCCTCCTCGACGAGCCAGGGAGAAAAGAAAAGAGGACAAACCCCGAGAAGTCCGAGAGAAAAGAGGACCCTCGAGGCATTTTACCGAATACACTCCGCTCACAGATTCCCGCGAGCGCATTTTGGCGGAGTGTGCCAACATGGACTTTAAAGACGGCAACGTCAAACTCCCCCGACCTGCTCTCGCCAAGCCCGAAGCAGACAAGAGCAAGTACTGTCAGTACCACAGGAGCCATGGTCATCTGACTGAAGACTGCGTCCACCTCAAGGACGCCATCGAAACCATCATCAAGGGAGGGAGGCTCGCCCAATACCGGCGAAACGATGCTCCTCGTTGTGACGCCCGGGAGACAAGAGAACCGGAGGAAGACGCCCGACCATCTGACGAGTCGGTCCCCGTCCAGACCGCCTTCTCTGTCACCAGACCCGAGGACTTCTACGTCCCCGAACACCTGCAGGAGACGCTCACGACACACAGCAGGTGGGAATACTTCCCCTCCGCCATGGTCATCAACGGTGGAGAATTCAACGACCTAACTATCAATTCGGCTAAAAGAAAGCTGGATGAACTGGTCGACGCAGCACCTCCGCAAACAGTGACCTTTGAAAGGGTAAAAGGCAGGTCGGAGCCTATCACCTTGTACCTGGAAGAGCTCCCCGGAGGAGCCCCCAACACAGTCATTCCTCTGCTGATAAGAGCAAGAATGGATAACTTTGATGTGCACCGCATCCTCGTCGACGAAGGAAGTTCCGTCGACGTGATATACAGTCAATTGTTCCGGACTCTGCAGCTGGACGACTCGCATCTCTCGCCATATGTGGGTTCAGAATTATAGGGCTTCAACGGCTTGACCTCCAAGCCTTGAGGATATGTCGAGATCATGGTTACCTTCGGCGAGGGCACGACGACAAGGCAGGTTAAAGTATGCTTCCTCGTCATCGACTGCCCGTCCCTCTACAAATGCATCATGGGGAGACCAACACTGGCATAACTGACCGTGGTACCCTCCACCGTCCATTTGAAGATGAAGTTCTACACCAAGAGGGCACGGGTAGCTACCATCCAGGGGGACCTAGCTGCTGCTCGAAGGTGTTTCAACGCCGCATCCAAAGGACGCGACAATGTCGACACCGGGACAAGGCCCGCCAAGAGACCGGCGACGATGCAATAGGAACCCAACAAGCCAGAGCCCGCCAAAGAGGAAGACCAAAGAGCTCCACCAAAGGTCGACTCCATAGCTCTGGATGCTCGTTTCGATCAGGACGAACCTCCCAACGACGAGCAAATTCCCCTCCGACCAATCCCGGACGGGGACTTCAAGATAGTCCCCCTCGACGCAGACCGAAGCAAAGGAGTGAAGATTGGCATCGACCTCCCCGACCTGGAAAGGAAGCAAATCAAAGCCTGCTTGCGCGAGAATGCTGACCTGTTCGCCTTGAGCGCCACGGAGATGCCCGGAATCGACCCTGAGGTCGCCTGTCACCGTCTCTCCATAGATCCTGCCGCTATGGCCGTAGTACAACGTAGGCGTAGGCAGTCTCCGGAGAAAACGGAGGCTGCTAAAAAAGATGTAAAAGATCTCCTAGAGGCGAATTTTATTTTTGAAGCCCGGTATTCAACCTGGCTGTCAAACGTTGTACTAGTTAAAAAGAATAATGGAAAATGGCGGATGTATGTTGACTATACCAATCTCAACCGGGCATGCCCGAAGGATGCTTTCCCTTTACCAA